CTGTCCTGCCAGCATCCAGCTGCCACTCCCTGCCCTCATCCCGCCTGGGTGGCCCTCCTGTGGTCACATCCCCATTCCCCCACCCTCACCCCCGTCCACACCACAAGCCTTGGCGAGGTCCAGGCCCGCTCCGGGCAGCTGCCTGAGATGAGGCCCTCAGATCCCCTCCAACTACCTTAGGGGCGCCTCTGGGCCCAGGTCTCAGCGGGGAGCAGCTCTGAAAGAATCCTGGCCTGACCCCAGTCCTCCATCCACTGCCCGCCACACGCACCTCCGTGAGCCGCTGCTCGCCCCAGATCGGCTCTCCGTGGCCCGGCTCCTGGCCTTGTACCCAGACAAGCCTCTCGCCTCTTTCCCCGCCTCCCGCCAGCTTCCCGGGGCGACCCCAGGCTCCGAAAGCCCAACACAGTCACCCCAGACCTGTGGCCTCCCTCCTAAACCCCACCTCCCTCCACGCCCCCACACCAATGACCCACCCTCTCCCCAGTTGTGATCCTCTGCGTCTCCACAGCCCCCACCCTAGTCAGGCCCCGCCGCCTCCCTCCCGCACACGGAGCAGCTTCCCGGTGTCTCCTACCCGCCCTGCAGCCCGATCTTGTTCTAACGCAACTCCCGTCGCGCAACCCCCTCCATGGCGCCCTCTGGCGCTGAGAGTCCCCCCAACCCCTTAACCACGGGGCGCAGCCGGGCCCCTGCTCATGGCTTCACCTTAGCCCCACCAGGAGCCTGCCCGCTCCCACCCTCAGCTCCAGTTGCAGGCACCTGCCAGCAGCTCCCAGAACTCTCCAGCCTCACCTGCCACGCATAGCCCTCCCCACCCGGCAGATCTCAGCTAGCTCTTAGCTCAGGTGTTAGAGCTCAGCTAGCTCTTAGCTTGCTGCTGCCCACCCCCACTCTCTACCCACCACCCCTCCCCAAGCTGGGATAGGTGCCTCCCCTGGGCTCCTGTCCCCACCAACAAACTGCACCAGCCCTGCTGTCACTGCCGCCCCCCCAGCCGCCGCCAGACTGCCTCCCTGAGGGCGGGGAGAGCAGTTCGCCTGCCTCATTCCCTTTTGCTCCTCAGTAACCAACACAGTGTTTGTCACATCATAGATTGTTGAGTGGGTGCCCAAGTGGCCTGACTGCAAATGCTTTCCCGCCCCTGGAGTCTGCCAGCACCCACCAGCTCCCCAGCTTGCAGCACCCTCTGCCCTTTCCTGTCTGCGCTCACGCCCCGTTTCTCAGAACACTGGGACCCCTCCAGTGTTCTGAGTGGTCGTCTCTACAGAGATGACCCGCAGCCCCTGAACTCAGACAGGGACCAGTGGCCAGCCATGCTTCCTTCCCCAGGCTCTCTGAGATGCTGCCGCTCTAAGGGACGGGGAGGGGCCCCGTCAAAGTCCTAGAGCAGCGATTTGCCCTCCTTTAGCCCCCAGTGAGACATGCTCCAGCCCAGCCAGGAGGGCCCACCCCACCACCCTGGACCCCTGCCGGGTGCCCGGGCCCATACCTGAGCTCTCACGCCCTAGTAGGCACTCCTTGAATATCTCCTGCACCCAGCACTGCAATTCCGGGTCACCCTCCACAGCTGCGTCACACGGGTAATAGTAGGTGATGATCTCTGTCACATACCTGGCCAGGGAACAGGGCCTCAGTTTGGACCCTCCTCCTGCCCTCCCCAGCTGTGCTGTTCCCACCTCTCCCAGGATGCCCTGGCCCCAGGGCTGCCCTAGGCATGTGGGTGAGCAAGTCCTGTGGGGCAGAGATGGCCAGGGTTGCTTGTCAAGGTCAGAGATGGCACCAGACCCAAGCGCAGGCACTTTAAGGCTCCCCTCCAACACCTCAGGGTGTCTGAGTGCCACCCACTGCCGTCCCCATCTTACCTCTCCAGGGCATCCCACACTGCCAGGCAGTCATCACGGTAATAATATCCCGGCAGGTCCTGCACCCCGCGCTCCACAAAGTCATTGGGGGGGTAGCAGCTCTCATAGGTCATCTCTGACAGATACCGGGCCATCAACTCAGCAATGCCCTTCAGGCCCAGGGACGTGGCCTATCAGGGAGGAGCGAACGCTGGAGCCAGCGGGTTCCTTGCAAGTCCTCCCCAGGGACGCTCACATGCAGCTCACACGCAGTGACGACGCTCCTGCAGCCCCCGCCCAGCCTGCTCCACCCCGGAATCCTCGCCCTCCAGCCAACACACCAGCCCCTGCCTCTGCCTTTGCAGACGCAGCATCCACTTTACCCCGTCCCCTCTCTCCGTGCTCCCTCATGAACTAAAGGCAAGTGGGAAGCCCTGCTGTTAGGCGACCTGCGAGGCCAGAAGGAACGGGAGTATCTTGCTGGTGTTGGGGGCAGCCTCACCCTGGCAGTGAGCCCCCCCTCATTGAGGAGGATGGCCCGTCCAATGCTGTTGATCTGGATGGTGTATCGGGTGTGGGGGACCAGGAGCTGTGAGAGAGCAAAGACAATGAGAGAACTGATGCTGTCCCCCAGAGCACTGTGCACCCCCAGTTCTGCAACATCAGACCCCCTCTCTTGTGGGTCCCCAGCGGCCTCCCCTAGTCTCCCTGGAAGCCCTCTGACTGCTGGGCAGGCCCAGTGGCTCTCTGAGGCCAGACGAGGGCAGGGATGCTTCAGCGAGGCCCCTTCGCCCAAGCCCGTACCTTGTAGAGGGGGTGGCACATGGGCAGCTGCCTCAGCACGGCCAGGCAGAAGGCCTCGCCGATGAGGTGGGACCCCAGCAGGTGGGCGATGGCCTCGTGGTAGTAGAACTCAGCGTTGCGCACCCACGTCTTGGCCAGCAGCCAGTCCCACTCAGAGTCGTTGGGCAGGAAGATGGGGCAGTTGGGCCCAGGGGTCTGGCTGAGCTGGGAGTGGGGAAGGAGGGAGTTAGGGGAGGGCAGAGACCTACACACACAAGGACCCTCAGGAGGGAGACCAAGGAGAGTCTGAGGACGTAAAAACTCCGCCCTTACACCCCAGTCCCTGTTCCCTGGAGCACAGCGAGGCCTTTCCTCCCTCCTAACATCTGCTCTTGCCGTTCCCACTGCCTGCGGTGCCTTCCGCTGTCCCTGTCTCTACTGGCTGCTCCTATGATTCTTCATGAGCCAGCTCACAAGCCACCCCCTCTGAGAAGCCTTCCAGTCTCCGCCCCACGGCCGCCACATGCAGCTGCGCAGGTTTGCCCTGCACAGGGACACCCAGCCCCCCGAGGGGAGGGCACTGCCATCTGGCCTAAACCGCTTCACCAACAGCCACGGCACCAGGACCTGACTTTCCTTATTCGGACGGGAGTCTAGTGGAGACCCCGGGAAGGAAGCACCTCTGCCCCATTTTCTGCCAGACCACTCTCCAGGCAGCTGCTAAGTGTGTTCGCTCCGCATTTCCGTGCTTATACACACAGCACGCAGACTGCACACAGGCGCACCCACAGGAACCGTGTGCATGCATGGGCGGCACACAGATGTGCACACGCAGGCTAACACAGAGACTCCCCACAGGGCCGCACACCAGGCTCTCCACTAGCTGCACACCCAGATAGGCATATACATGAACAGGTGTATTCTCAGGTGCACACGAACGAACATACACTCACAGGGACACACACGCTTACACAAAGAGCTGCGCACACACACGCACACACATGCACAGACTCTGGCCTGCTCACCACACGTTCACAAAGGGGCTACAAGCACACACACAGGCCCACACGCTCACATAGCGCACACACACATTTATGCACACAGCTGCACAGCGGCGCCCACACTGCGGCAAGGCCTGCACCCGGGCACCTGGATGGCGATGGGCATCAAGTTCCCTTCCGCGTTCAAGTGCAGCAGGCAGAGGGGGGCGCACTGGTGCTGCTTCTGGCCGTTGAGCTCCACCGTGGGGATGCCCTCCAGGATCCTGTAGTCGGCCAGGTAGATGTTCCCCTTCTGGAAGGGAGCGCCATGGGCGGGCAGGTCGCAGCAACACGGGGCACCCATGCCCACACCTTGGGTACCGAGCGCTCTTGCCCCCCAGATGGAGGGGTTGGCCAGGGACCAAGAGGGGGTGATGGTGACCGCGGGGCAGACCTGAGGGGGTGGGAACTCCGCAGGCAGCAGAGGCATTTCCGCCGGACCAGGCCTTACCTCCAGCTCCGCTTGCAGGCACGTTCCTTCGCCCAGGAACGGGGCCACCATGTCGTCTGTGACGGGGAACTTGTCTGGAATCCGCGTGCAGCGGCGGATCACGCTGGGGTTGATGCCGTTGAGGTACTGGTACCCAAAGAAGCTGTCCTCTGCCCAGTGCTCGGCCACGTATTCTGGGAGGATGGTGCGGAGCGTCACGACGCTGCCCGGTCCCCACCAGGGACAGAGAGGCATGGGGCCACGGCCCGGGACAGAGGGAGGCTATGGACACCCCAGCGGAAAATGAGACCCCCAACCTCCCCCGAGGGGCCTCGGGCGACGTTTCCCAACATGCCGCCAGGGGGCGCGCTCACCCAGCTCGCCACTCCTGCCTCCGGTTCGCCCGCTCCTCCCACCCAGCTTCCCCGACTGAGGGTCCTGCCTCCTGGACTGTCCCGCCGCCAGAGATCGCTGGGCTCCCCGAGTCCCATTCGGCTGCCCCACCCCCTACCGGAGACGGTCGTCTTGTAGGCAGGGAAAACTTTCTTAATGTCCTTCAGTCTCTTCCACGACCGTTTGCAGTCCACGAAGCCTCGGAGTTTGAACCTCAGCGCCCTTAGGAGATGAGGTTGGGGGGCGGGGGGGGGGTGTCAGAGAGGCTGCCAGGCGCCGTCTGCCCCACGCCACCGAGGTTTCTGAGTCTCCAATTCCCTGCTCTCTCTCTGGGTCTCAGGGTCCCCGGGCCCATAGCCCAAGGTCTTTCGAGGCCCCCGTCTCTGAGTGTCACCTCTCAGGCTCTCCGGCCTTTCTGATCAGCTCCATCTACCTTCCAGGCCATTCTAACCTCCGGGGCTGTGGTGGAGGCGGGCATGGAGCAGACGGGGGGCCCCCCAGCCCCCCTCACTCACACACACTCACATGGGCCCCAGGCGGAAAAAGAAGGAGGCAGTCTTGATGAAGGAGTAGCGCAGATTTAAGTCCAGGAACCTGGTGGCCTTGAAGTTGATGAGGATCGGGAAGCCGGGGATATGGCCGTTCCACCTGCAGGAGGGAACGTAGGTCTGAGGCGGACACCTGGGGTCCGGGGCTTGAGGAAGGGCAGAGCCCAGAGGCCCACCCAGGGCAGCCTCGGGTCCTTACTCAGGCCGGTTGGGGTTTCTCCGGGCAGGAGGGCGGTAACTGGGGATGTGCACGTAGTTGGGCAGGCCGGGCACGAAGACCCTCCAGCTGCAAAGAGAAGCTGAAATGGTGAGCCTGATGCCCATGCACCAGAGGGCAAAGCCATCCCTGGCCCCGGGGCCTCCGCAGCCCTTGCCATCCTCGCGCACCGGTAGAAGTCCTGTTTGGCTCGGATCTCCTCCCTGCGGTGCTCCAGGAGGATTGGGAGGCAGTCGTCGGCTGTTGTCTTTCCTGCAGGGAGATCAAAGGGGGGGGGGGGAGCTCAAGGTCAGCCCGGTATCTGCCCACCCCCACCCATTTCAGGGATCAGAATTCAGCTTCTGCCTCCCAGGTTGGCTCTGGGGTCCCATCACGATCAAGGATGGGAGAGGGAGGGTCTTTCTCCTCCCAAAGTCTGAGATGAAAGGACCAGGAACCACTTTGGCCAGTGTGGCCAGCTGGTTAGAGCATCCTCCCCTATACTGAGAGGTTGTGGGTTTGATTCACGGCTCAGTTGGGTACATAAGGGCTATTTCACTATCTTTGGGTAAGGATTTTTTAAAAAAGGATCAGTAGCCCGAGCTGGTTTGGTTCAGTGGATAGAGTGTCAGCCTGCGGGCTGAGGGGTCCCAAGTTCAATTCCAGCCAAGGGCACATGCCTGGGTTGCAGGCTCCATCCCCAGTAGGGGGGTGTGCAGGAGCCAGCCAATCAATGATATTCTCTCATCATTGATGTCTCTATCTCTCTCTCCCTCTCCCTTCCTCTCTAAAATACATTTTAAAAAATACTCGTGTTTTTTTTGTTAAAAGGATCAGGGATCACCCTCCCCCTTGTGTCACCCCCTCCAGCTGGGCCCTGCTGCTACAGGCCACCCATTTCAGGGATCAGAATTCAGCTTCTGCCTCCCAGGTTGGCTCTGGGGTCCCATCACGATCAAGGATGGGAGAGGGAGGGTCTTTCTCCTCCCAAAAGCTGAGATAAAAGGACCAGGAACCACTTTGGCCAGTGTGGCCAGTTGGTTAGAGCATCATCCCCTATACTGAAAGGTTGTAGGTTTGATTCACGGCTCAGTTGGGTACATAAGGGCTATTTCACTATCTTTGGGTAAGGATTTTTTAAAAAAGGATCAGTAGCCCGAGCTGGTTTGGTTCAGTGGATAGAGTGTCAGCCTGCGGGCGGAGGGGTCCCAAGTTCAACTCCAGCCAAGGGCACATGCCTGGGTGGCAGGCTCCATCCCCAGTAGGGGGGTGTGCAGGAGCCAGCCAATCAATGATATTCTCTCATCATTGATGTCTCTATCTCTCTCTCCCTCTCCCTTCCTCTCTAAAATACATTTTAAAAAATACGTGTGTTTTTTTTTAAAGGATCAGGGATCACCCTCCCCCTTGCATCACCCCCTCCAGCTGGGCCCTGCTGCTACAGGCCAACAGGCCATGCAAATCCGGTTGGTTTGGTTTTCCACCATTTAAGTGCAAATTCCTTGGTTGGAAAAATCTGCTCAAAATTTACCTGAGACCATAAACAGCCTTATTCAACTCACTTGGTGTAACTTCATAGTTTTTGCCACAGAAATATTGGTATATTTGATTAGGGAGTTCCCTGGTGAATATATCATATAACATATGGTGTGTGTGTGTGTGTGTGTGTGTATCTATATCTATATCTATCTATATATAATATATGGAGATATAGAGATAAAGATATGTGTGCATCACATTTCTATATCTCTTCTAAATAAAATCTCCATTTTAAAACATGTCTGGCCCCCACAGTTTCAGCTAAGGGACAATATTGCCCTGCTCATTTCACAAGGAAAAAACACTCAATGTTACACAGAGAGAAACGGGGAGCTGGGATTTGAACCAAGGCAGCCTCCTTCTGATCACTAACCCACTATCCGCGAACAACCACCAACAGTTGTTAAGCCTTTTCAAAATTCCTTTTAGAGATTGTCTCATGGGATTCTCACATCAACCCTATGAAGTCAGTTCTGCTGTTAGCGCCATTTCACAGACGAGTTCACTGAGGCTTAGCGGAACTGAGACGTCCACCCAGATGTCCGGCTGAGCATCCAGGTGAGGCTGAGATCCAAATCCGGGCCTGGCTTTCTCCAGCATCCTGGCTGGAAGCCCCAGCCTATCCCTGCAGCCCCATCACTTTCCTTCAGGGTCCTCTTCGTAAGCTGCTCCCTCCTCCCCCCTCCTCAGCGTATGCTGTGTTCTGGGAGCACGGCACCCCCTGGAGTTGTGTAACACAGAGCCCTCGCTCAGCCTCGTCCCAGAGTAGGAACCTCACTCCTTCAAGGCCCCAGCAGGTGACTCAAGCCTCCCTGCCCTGGTGTGTTTGACAGCTGCCCCACCCAACCCCATTCCTACACCCTGCCACCCAGTGTCACCCTGCCTGTCCCCGGCTTCCATGGCACTCAGACTTGTCACTGTGGGGAAATGCTTCGAATCTCCCATAAGACCCTCGCTTTGGCTTCCCCATCCTCCCCAAACCTGCTTCCCCCGGCCCCTGCCTCTCCTTTCCCCAGCTCGGGCACGGTCCCCGCCTCCCCGGAAGAGGTTCTCGCCACAGGGCAATGGATGAAATGGGATGGTCAGCTGCGGGGCTGATAGAGCTCCAGGCCCCAGGCCCCCTCTGCTCTGTCCTCCCCTCTGACCCGGCTTGAGGGCGGCCAGCAGAAGCTCAGTGGTGGAGTCAGGGAGACAGAAGAGGACAGAGGACAGGCCTGCAGTCCCATGTAGCAGTCACATATTAGGAAGCTGGGCCGAGGGTAGACAAGGGCTCTGGCAGGGCTGGACATGAGGAGCGCAGGCACTCAGGTCCTGTCCCTCTTCCCTGGGAGCAACCAAGCTGCTGGTGGGCCACCAAGGGAAACCCAGCAGTCTGTATGAGGCTTAGCGGAACGGAGACGTACACCCAGAGGTGTACCCTACTGGAGCCGGAGGGAGCCTCGCTGGATTAAGAGGACCTTTGGGAGTAGCCATGAGGCCTGTTAGAGAAATCAGGTGTCTTGTTGGGGCAATAAGGAGTCCTTTGGAGCAATAGACATCCCATCAGTCTACAAAAATGCCCTTTAAGGAACCCAGGGCATGATGATAAGGCACAAGGCCTCCTGCTACGGCGCCGCGGAGAACCTGAACTGGCAGCCTCCGTAACGAAACGAGGCAGCCGTCGGAGCACCGGGGCTTCTGACTAGAGTAACAAGGCATCCGGTTGTAGCAACAGAACCTGCTGGATCACAGGGAGTCTTTTCGGATTAGCACGACATGCTATTTGGGACAAATAGGGCATCCGACCAGAATCCTGAGGCCTGTAGCCAGAGTAGCAGGGGGTCTTTTTAGAGTGGCTGGGCCGCCACCAGAGGAGAGGGGAGGGAAGGGGAGGGGAGGACAGCAGAGGTAGCAGAGAGCAGGCTTGTCTTCAGCGGGAACCTGCGAGCCTGAGGTCCTGGGGGTAGCCCCACGCCTCATCCACCTCTGTTCCCCAGGGTGTAGCCCGCGCTGGGCCCAGCACCGTAGCGATGACTAAGAGGAATACGTAGCAGTGGCAGGAGTTCCCAGGAGTCCCCGTGGGGCCGGCACCTGGCTAGCGTGGACAGTGGCCATGCTGGAGCGGCCTAGCTAGAGCAAGGGGCCTCAGGGCACGGGCTGGGCTGGTGAGAGCTTGCCTGTCGCCTCCCGCAGAGCCAGGGTCTCGTAGCCATCCATCCACTGGTAGGCGGGGAAGTGGTAGATGCGGCCGTTGGGTGCACAGATCTGCACGTAGTTGCAGTACCAGGGGTTCTTAGGAAAGAAGGAGTACCGCTCCTTGTGCAGGCGGATGATGATGAGCTCCCCCAGGTCCTGCTGGCACTGCACGGTGTACTCATCCACCTGGCAGGGCACAGGGCCAGCTGAGCACGCAGGCCTTGGCCCGGCCCCTCAGGTTTCCTACTGGCCTGGCTCCTTACCCAGGCCTGGCGCACGCAGCTCACCTTCCTGAACCGGGGTGACCTGATCTTGGGCTCCCCTCCCACCCCTCCAACCTGGCTGTCCCCTGCTGGGCCCACCCACCCTCCCTTTCTCCACTCCCAGTTCCTGAGGTCCCATCCTCTCACCCACCTCCCCAGTCATCTGAGGCTGCGGGAGCCATGCAGACCTCCGGGGCTGTTGTATAAAGGGACCGGGGCCCCCAAGACCCTTACAGTCTTAGAGTGGGCAGAAGTGGCCAGCCCCCTTTCCTCCCACTTCACAATGAAGATGCGCAAATTCAAAAGAGGCCACACAGACAGTGACCTATGAAGGTCACATAGCAGCAAGTTACTGAACCAGACTCCGAATCAGGCCTGAGGGCTGAGAGCCCAGCGCACGGTGCCTTCCGCCTTGGAGAGGCAGCCCCAGGAGAGAGGCTGGTCTGGTGTCACCTGAAGTCGCAGGGACCCCCGTGTGAATTTAAGCTGGTTCTGATGCACCTTAACTTAGGAAGAGTAAGAACAGGAGACGGAGGAAGGAGGGAGAGGGGGAGAGAGGAAGTGGGAAAGGATGAGGGAAGGAGTGGAAAAGGGAGGAGAGAGACGGAGAGATAAAGGGAGTAGGCGAGGGCTGAGAGATGAGGGATGTGGGGTGAGTGATGCGAGAGGAGGAGGGGGAGAGAGGGAAGAGGTGAGGAAGGGGAGGAAAAGAGAGAGTAAGAATAGGAGACGGAGGAATGAGGGAGAGGGGAAGAGAGGAAGTGGGAAAGGATGAGGGAAGGAGTGGAAAAGGGAGGAGAGAGACGGAGAGATAAAGGGAGTAGGCGAGGGCTGAGAGATGAGGGATGTGGGGTGAGTGATGCGAGAGGAGGAGGGGGAGAGAGGGAAGAGGTGAGGAAGGGGAGGAAAAGAGATGAGGAATGGCCAAAAAGGGGGGAGAGGTGAAGACCAGGGAGGAAGGATGGCCCAGAGACCAGGGGAGGCTGGGAGTCAGGCCTGTGGTGAGGGGCACCCAGAGTCACCCTGGCAGCCCCACCGCTTTCAGACCTGACCCAGGCCTCCCCAACCTCTGCTGGCCAAGCTGCCTCCCTCCGCTGCACCCTGCTTCCGTCCTATGCTCCCCAGTCACACACACATACATACACACTCACACATACATACACACACCACGTACACATATACCAAACACAGGCTCACACATGTACCACACACACACACACACACACATACACATATACCAAACACAGACTCACACATGTACCACACACACACACACACACACATCTATACATACATATCCCACAACACAAATACCTGCACACACTCACATATATACCAAACACACACATACATAC